TTATTTGCTCTATTGATTCATTGTGTGAATAATATAATCTGGAATATCATTCTTCAATATGTCACAAAAAATTAAAATATGCATTCTGAATTATATGTTTTAAAAAGTTATGGTTGGAATATATGCAGTATTTTATTGGCTTAAACTTTTAAACCTTGATTATATTTATTATTTTAAGTCACACTGTAATGTAATAAATGAAAAATTTTCAAATATGGAATATTTGCACTGGCTCTTTAGAGAAGAAAAGTGAATGCATAAAGTCTTACCAGCAGCAGCCTAACCATTATAAAATAAGGCCAAATTATTTTATTTTTTTTAAAAGGCCCCAAATATTGGCTTTGGTGTTTTAGTAAAATGAAAGCTGAACTGTTAAAGCTAAACTTATGTCTTCACACTGGGTAATGTTATTGAAAACTCTAGGACTTAATTTGGCCTTCTCGTTCTTATGAGATTAAATATAACAATAACAACAATTAACAGTCACTATGTATCCGGCACTATTCTGAAAGATTTGCGTATATTAACTCATTTCATTCTGAAGAATGTCTTATGACACTACAGTTGTCCCCAGTTTTAAAGATAAGAAAACTGTACCACAAGGATGTTAAGTACCTTGCCTAAGGTCATTCACACAGCAAAAAAGTGGACAGCTGGTATTTCTTTTCTCTTTCTTTTTTTTTCTTTTTTCAAAGCGGGGAGCTGGAATCTTGCTCTGTCACCCAGGCTGGAGTGCAGTGGTGCAATCTTGACTCACTGCATCTTCCGCCTCCTGGGTTCAAGTACTTCTTCTGCCTTAGCCTTCTGAGTAGCTAAAATTACAGGTGCACACCTCCACAAATGGCTAATTTTTTTTTATTTTAGTAGAGAAGGGATTTCACCGAGTTGCCCAGGCTGGTCTCAAACTCCTGAGTTCAGGCAATCTGCCCACATTGACATCCCAAAATGCTAGGATTACAAATGTGAGCCACTAGGCCCAGCCCAGTATTTCAACCCAGACAATCCAGACACAGTTGCTCTAGCAGCTGTGTTCTTAAACATAATGTCAAACCACCTCTCAAGAATGTGCCTTTCTTTATGATAAGTGAAGTAAGTCAGGCACAGAAAAACAAAAATCATGTGTTTTCACTTCTATGTGAAATCTAAAGCAATCCATCTCCTAGAAGCAGAGAGTAGAACAGTGGTAACCAGAGGCTGGAGAGTGGGAGCAATAGGAAGATGTTGGTCAAAAGGTACAAAGTTGCACTTAGACAGGAGGAATAAATAATAAGTTTTTAAGGTGACTGACATGTTAATTAGCTTGATTCAGTCATTCCACACTGTATGTGTATATATATATATAAATTGATAGGTCATATATATATATAATATCATATATATTTAATATATCATGTGGACCCTATAATTATATGGACCACTATAATTATATGGGCCCCTTATTTATTTTGACTATTATAATTTTTCTGAAACATTAAAGAAATATATAAAGCATAAAAAGGTAATATGCTCTGCTGTGCTACAGAATTGGTAAGACTGGAAGCTCCACAAACCATTATTATTTCTTCCTTCAGATACCTAATTCTTTAGCCATCACATAGTCAAATATCACCAAAACCAAACCAATATTTCCCAAAGGTGATTGAGATGGTTTAAGGTTAGATATGGACTTTAAAAATTTTAATACTGCTATGGTCTAAATGTTTGTTCCCCCCAAAACTTACATGTTCAAACCAAGTCTACAATATTGTGGGTATAAAGAAGTGGGGACTTCGGAAGATGAGTATGTGAGGGGGACCCCCACTCATGAATGGGATTAGTGCATGAATACCCTTATTAAAGAGGTAGTTGTTCATTCCTTCCACCATGTGGAGACATAGTCAGAAGGTGCCATTGATGAGGAAGAGGCGCTCACCAGACCCTAAATTTATCAGACTCTTGATCTTGGACTTCCCAGCCTCTAGAACTGTGAGAAATAAATTTCTGTTGTTCAGTGACCCAGGTTGTGATAGTTTTGTTATAACAGCCAAATAGACTAAGGCAAATAGCTAATATATTTATTTTTATGCATATTAAGAAATCAGTATAATTAGAACATCAAAAACAATTATTTCATAAATATTATTGCTTGACTAAGACAATAAACTAGTAAATAATTTATATCATTTTAAATAAAAACTATTAAGTAGACAATAGAACAAATGAAACAAATGCTAACTAACAGAATTAATGGTAGAAATGTTGAAGACAGCACATGTCGGATGAAAGTTTGCCAAACATCGACTTCAACAGTGCTGTTCTCTCTGAGCTAAATTTCCACATACACCCGGGCTGCAGTGTTTCAGCAAACCTGGGGCAGGATCACTAAAGCTGTGTTATGGTGTGGCTAGCCCTCCCCATCATTTTATTATATAAAACCATATACAAGTTTCTCCAGTGGTAACTACCCAGGACCACCAAGACAGTCATCCCTATTACTCTGCTGTCGCTTGAGAAGCCAATATCCAGAACCTCATAGAAAGCACAGTAGGACTAGTCTCTGCCACCCTCAGAACACCTAACTAGGGCCTTTTGTAAAGGCCTGAGGATCAAACAGAGGAAAAAGCAAGGACAGATGAGAAAAACAGGGAAGTGTGACATGTGGGAAGCAACAAAGAAAACACCTGCACTATGTTAAGTACACTGTACCAACTTGAGCTAGTTTACTCTTCCAGATAACTCCAAGATGAAGGCTTTGTTGTCCCTTGTCTATAGGTAATAAAACCAAAATCCAATAACTGTGAAGGGAGTGAAACAAGCTTCTTTGACTCCGAACCTGGATGACTTTTTCACTTTACATTAGAGACTGAAGAAGCGAAGTGATACAGAGTGGACGAAAAAGGGTGGAAGTACCTTGAAAAGATATGTATCAGATACTTCATCTTTTTCAGATGGAGTCTCACTCAGCTGCCCAGCTTGCAGTGCAGTAGTGTGATCTCGGCTCACTGCAACCTCCACCTCCCAGGTTCAAGCGAATCTTCTGCCTCAGCCTCCTGAGTAGCTGGGATTACAGGCAACTGCCACCACGACCAGCTAATTTTTGCATATTTAGTAGAGACGGGGTTTCACCATGTTGGCAAAGCTGGTCTTGAACTCCTGATCTCAGGTGATCTGCCTACCACAGCCTCCCAAAGTGCCGGGATTACAGACAGAGTCACCATGTCTGGCCTCAGATACTTTTTTCCATAAGTTAAAAAAACAATGTAAGGCAAGTCACATAGTCATGAACCCTGAACTACAACCTGGATATTTGAATGGCTAGTTCATTGCTCTGTCTAGCCCCATTTTTGGAAAGTCTTGAGCCTTCAGTGGAAGTTATAGTTGGAAAAGAGGCATGTTTAAATTAAGTCAAATGGAAGCACTGCTATGCCAAGTCATAGAGTTAGTATACGCACAGTGGCTGGCAGCCTTGGAAACAATTTCTGCTGAATAGGTTATAAAATAAATAGGCTGCTGCAGGACACTCTCTGAGCAGTGTCATTTTATGATGTTGGATCCAAAATCCTGAGCATTTTAGTGGACTGGCAGGGAAAGAAGCTGAAATTTACCTTGTCAAAATCTTTATTGGAATACTGCTGCTTTATTACAACACTGATTAGTTCTTTCTTCAACTTAGAAGCTAAGTAAGATGGTTTCTTCAAAAGCAAGCTACAATACCCAAATTCTTCCCAAGGGACTCTAGTATCACTAAATTAAAAAGCCCCTTTTTTTCTTACGGTGTTCTACCCATGGTCAGGGCTACATAAATATTGGTTGAATTGAATCAAATTTATTTGAAAGGCTGTAACACCTGTGTAGGGATAAATGAAAATCATCTAAGCACGAACAAAAGAAAAAATTATAAAAAAGAAAAGCATTTGTATTTCTAGCAGTTTGTACTTACTTCTTTTATAATCATCTTTTGAAAAGGTCATTAGCATAAAATAATTTTAGTCTATACTGACAAAAAGTAACAAAATTATTATAACTATGATTGCTTAGCAATTCTTAGTTATATATTATACCTTTTGATTGGTACCTTAACACACAACGCTGCTATTAAGAGGCATATTAACCCACGTTTTGATTCCAGACAATTCTCTTTAAACAAGATTTATATTTATGAAATGCCATTAGACATAAATTTTCTGTTAAGTTATTTGCATGTATATTTCCTTCACTTTATTTCTCTTTTAATATTCCATAAAAAATTATGAAACCATATTGTATGGTGTCAATAAGCATCACAAATAACAAAATCCAGGTAATTATAACTCTCAATACTTGACATTCCATTTAGTTTTTATTCTTCTAAACCCTTCCTAATAATCACAGAAACATAAGAATATTTAATTTAAAATCACAATTTCACAATAAGTAACTAATAATGACAATTTTGTAATTTTGAATGTAATCCTGAATCCTGCATGATTGCTTCATTGAAAATAATCTCTTCTATGTCTTCTATGTAATAAAAGAATAACAATCTGCAGCCTACAATTTGAATAATTTATACGGTTTGGTTCCAGATCTTCCCAGCTCTTTTCAGCAAAAAATTTTTTAGCAAAGCAAACTTTATGTGGAGCCAGACATAAGAAGACCCTGAATGGCATTGAGAAATTTATCAAAGGAAATGAGACCATTTTAAAGATAATTGTTTTCTCAGGGTTAAGTATAGAAACTTTTTTCCCTTGAGTTCCACAACTACAACCTACTTAACCATTTGAGGTACGTTGTATTACTGCTCAAAAAATTTTACTTTTTCCTCACATCTTCTTTGGGAGGAGTATAATTCCCCACTTAATTGATTTGACAGTCAAGTCACTGCTTGAAAGAAAATCTAAAATTCATGGTATTGGCTTTAGGGCCAAATGTAGGTTACCAGGAAACTTCTTTATGAAGATTATCCCTTTGTATTCCATGACTGAATGCTGGGACTGAAGAGAAAACATGATGTAGAGATCATCACAAGGTTTAAGACTTACGTCTGATGCTGTAAGTCTCCAACCCTGAGGGGAGGAAAGTCTTCATTGGAGTAGGGCTGAACACATTCTGTGGGCAGAAGAAAAAGAAGTCAATTCTTGTTGTCCAGAAAACAAATTGTGGGTAGATTGTATTATTATTCCACAAATATCCAGTTATCCCCACCCTAACACTGAAGAATCATGAATGTCCATCCCATTGATACTGGCTTGATTATGTGATTTGTTTTGACCAAAGGAATGAGATAGAATTTGGCATATACTGTTTTCACACAGCAGCTTTAAACATGCTTACATGTTTTGGTTTGGTCTCTTATTTATTCCCTTCAGCCATCAGAAAAATATGCTCTTGTTAGCCAGTATTTCTTCAGCCTGGATCTCAGAATAGCAGATATGTTGAACACACCTAATGCGGTCAGATCCTGGCGAAGAGATGCTCTGCCATCCTGCAGACCTGTGAAAAAAGAAATAAAAGACTTTTGATATAAGCCATTGAAGTATTGCGGGTTGTTTGCTATTCAAGTTAATAAAAGCCTTTTGATATAAGCCATTGAAGTATTGTGGGTTGTTTGCTATTCAAGTTATCACAGAAAATCTTACTAATGCACAATTCCATGAGCATCAAATCAGCAATCTGCACATATAAGAAGGCAAAAGTCATATTTTACCTGATTTCATCTGATACTGCCCTCTTTTTGCTTTCTTCCTTTTTTGATATTTTATATGCCCCATCATATTGCAAAGGCATGTTTTTGCTGTCATCTGTTGTTTTTACTATATGTCCTTATAACATTCAAGAAGCTATAGAAGATTCGTAAATAAATTATTGGGCTCATGACTTCAACCTAGGCATTCTTTCAGACATACTTGGTAGACATTAAATCTGAGAGGATTTGTCTTTGTATGGTAAATTAGGAAGGCATTGCTAAAATCTGCACACTAGCTTCTGTTTTAATATGGTGAGCTAAAATACAAAACAACAATACTTGTGATCACATTTAGTAGTGGTCTTGTTATTTATTATTCCACTATATATTTTATCTCATATGCCAACACGTTTTGTTAAGATGAAGCATCTTCTGTTTTACAACATTCTGAATATTATTAATTAAATATCATTAATCAAAACTAAAAGGAGAAAATCACTGATAAATTAACCAATCTAAATGAAAGAAGGGAATCAGGGCAGATAATAGAATTTGAGAATGTACAAGTACTCTTCTAGCTGCTCACAGGATTGCCTAAAGAAAAAGTCTGGCCCAGGAGCACCTTTCCATGCCAAATTATACAGCAGGGAACTGAAAACACAGTTGGGATGCCTGGACTATGTGTGTGACAAACCCCTGAGGAACTGCCAGCCAGATACCCACAGTAAAGCCATTGTTCCTTGCTTAGCACAGACAAGAAACTAACGATACATCCCATGATGCAGCCATTAAGATAAAACCATGTGTGGGTTTATTTATCCACCATTTTGTCACTTATAGATGTACATTAAGAAAAGAAAAACATGACAGAGAAAATAATTTATATGAGAAGTTTATTAGTACATAGACATGGCCTAATGACTAGTAGTCCAGAAATTTGAAACTCTCTGTCACTCAACTGTCTCATGTTGCAGCATCCACACTCTTTTGTGTGTGGCCCCAGTAGCTTAAAAAGTTAAACTATTGGTAGAAATGAATAAGCTATCAAATTAATTAATTTTTAGTGTGGAATACTGATGAAGGATATAGGAGGACTTGAGGAAAGGCAATATTAGATTAATGTCAATAGTTTTGAAAAATAGTGAACAAATGGCTGTACCACACAAATGGCTAAGTTGGTTCCCATCCATTTAAAAGATTAAACACTTAAAAATTAGTGTGGCCAACCATAGCTAACTTATTATTGTCAGTGGTCAGTTATATAATAGCAATACTCATAGTAGTGACTTCAACATAAAAGTCTTGTTCTTCTAGAAAGTTAGAATTTTATTTGTATTTATTGCAAAGCAATATTTTCATTTAGTATTATTACTGTAATTTTCTCTGCAGACAAATATTCCCAGCAATGTATTGCAGAGATTTATTTTATCTATACTACAAGCAAGTGAATACTTTATAAATTACTGTAATTTATAAAAGTTTCATACAAGTTTATTATTGATTACATTAACTATCCTGTATATATTAAATAATATCATCTTCATTTAACCATGAGGCACTTAAGACCTGGACATACACCTAAGACCCGGACATATCAATTTCTCTGTCCTCCTATGCCATTGCATAGATGGTAATTGGAAGAGGTTAAATGAGTATATATTTTCTAAATCTAAGTCAAATTGACTTTCTACTATGTAATGGAAGATTTTATTTACTAGTTTAATTATCATGCTTGTCTTCGTCATATGAGTATTACATAGACAAAGCAAAATTAAATGCCCACACACACGACATATATGATGTAAAGTTTTAGACAAGATGTTTAAACAATGTTTTAAGATGTAAATATTAGACACAGGGAATCTTGACAGTTAAGAATATTGACTTCTTTTATCTGCTATGATTGATTTCAAAGCAGAGCTATTTATGTTAAAACTTACCACAATTAGAAAATTCTATAGTATTTAAGTCAATTATTGCTACGGTATGAATGTCTTTCTTCCCTTAAAATTCATATGTTAAAATCCTAACCTCCAAGATAGTGGTATTGGGAGGTGAGGTCTTTCAAGAGGTGATTAGGTCATGAGGCCAAAGCCCTCGTGAATGAAATTAATGCTCTTATAAAAGAAGCCCCAGAAATTTGCCTTGCCCCTTCAACTGTGTGAGGACACAGAAAGAAGGTTCCATCTATTAGAAAATGGGCCCTAACCAGACATCAAATCTGCAGGCACCTTGGTTGTGGAATTTCTAGCTGTTAAAACTGTGAGAAATTTCTGTTTCTACCCAGTTTATGGTATTTGGTTATAGCAGCTGGAATGGACTAAGCTATTTTCTTCAAAATTTGTTTGGCAGAAAGATGCAGATAAATTAATAGAATAGCTTAGAAATGTTTCAGAAAATTTAAGCTTTTTCTGGATTGATAACCATTATTTTCTCTCTCTCCTTTCTGGAGAAAAAAATACTACTACGTTAATCAACTAGTTTAAATATATGAATCCATAGATTTACTTTATTTAAAATGACAGAAAACATAATGTTTTAGAGGGCTATCATTGTAACAGATCAATTTATATAAAAATAAAAGATAACAGTACTTCTATGAGTATTGCTAAGAGACAGGAAGAGTATTTTCTATTTAGTATATAAAATGTAAAATACCGACAAGTGTGGTGGTTCATACCTGTAATCCCAGCACTTTGGAAAGCTGAGGCAGGCAGATCACTTGAGGTCATGCATGCAAGATCAGCCTGGCAAACATGGAGAAACCCCCGTCTCTACTAAACCTACAAAAATTAGCCAGGCATGGTGGCATAGGTCTACAATCCCAGATACTTGGGAGGCTGAGGTAGGAGAATCCCTTGAACCTGGGAGGCGGAGGCTACAGTGAGCCAAGATCACACCACTGTACTCCAGCCTGAGAGACAGAGCAAGACTCTGTCTCAAAAAAAAAAAAGTAAAATATTTCCTTTTCAATCATGACTCATTTTATCTATCACTTAAAATCTGAAATCTATTTCTTGGAACTCTGGGAGAAATAAGTAATGTATCCGCCCAAGTGTGAAGGAAAAGTCTGTGAAAATTACATGCTTTAGTTTTTCTCCAAGTTGGCAGCACTCACAGCTATTGTAACAAGACCTACCTTACAAAATTCTTTTTTGGGTCCTGTCTTGCATCTTTTTTAGATTCCTCCTTCCTCCCCTCAATTTTTTTCCTAATGGACTAGGTTCCTTTGCTGGCAGTGTTATTCCTCCAGGAGGTATATATTGTCCTGTATGTCTATGATTTTATATGGGTTTTGAGGATAAGACCTTCCAGACCCAAAGAATTCATATTTTAAGATGCTTATTGCATACTTGTATGTTTTTTATTTAATTTACAGTAGGCAGTTTATATATGTTTTTCAATAACTGGGAATCACAAAGATACTTACTGCTATGTGTCTGGTTTCTACCTTGTCTCCAATTTATCCTGTTCCCATCCATCCCACCAAAAAGAGTCATTTTTACTACTCTTTTTTGTTTTCTTTCAGATATATCATAAGCATATGTAAGAAAAAATAAATATGTATTCTCTCTCCTTTCCCATTATTTTTTACTCAAGTTATAGAGGACCATATATAATGGTTTTTAGTTGTCTTTCTTAAAACTTCACAATGTACTTTGGGTATTTTGCAACGAACTACAGAATCGATTTTTCTTTTAAATTTCTACATATTTATTTATATTAACAATATACAAGTTATGTATATCTCCAAGTTAGTTTAAATATCAAATAGAATAATAATACATAATTAAGTTACACAATCGGTTTTATCTGATTTTTTTTAATGGCGGGCAAATTTGAGTCTATAAGGTGACAACTGTCAGTGATAAGAAATTGTCCTTAAATGCAAGACCACACACTTTTGTTACACACTCAGAAGTAAACAAAAGATAATGGCTATATTTTCAAGAAAGGTTACATTTTCAGCTAAGATAATCTAAGTTTTATTCAAATGAAATATATCACCTCTTAATAATTGCATCCTTATGGTTATTACATTCATGATAACAGCTATTTTATGTAATAACACAAGTTATAAAAGAACATGTAGATGTGTTTAAACTTTCCAATCCAGCAGAAAAGTCAGCACTGCAATGTAAGAAACACCAGCCTGCACTTCCAGTCAAGCCTTCTTAGGAAGTATAAAATACTGTACACAAAAGAAACACACCTATTGCAAATCACCTTGTTTATAAATGTCTAGTCTATAAATTTATCATCACAAAGTGAACGCACTTGTATAACCATAAGCTGCATTCTAATAAAGAAATGAATGAGTAGTACCAGCCTCCTTGAAGCCGCCCTAATGAAAAGAACAAGCAGTGGTATTATATTGACTGAAAACAGAACAAATATTTGCCTGGGTGACAGACCAAGACTGTCTCAAAAAGAAAAGAGAAAATTGAAGGAAAAAACTTCTCTAATCCTGAAAATATTAACTCCAATACTTCATTCTCTGGCTACACCCTACTACCTTCTCAGCTTTCATACTAAATGTTATAAAAAAACAACAATTCATGTTTGAAACCAAGGAAATTGCAATTTTCAACAATATAACATATATGGGAAGAGCACATAAATCCATATTCCCAGTTCCAAGAGGAGCAAGCTGTATATTAATTTGTATTCAGAATTTAAATCCCAGAGACTATACCCTAAATAGAGGTCCAGGAATAGTGTCAAGGCTTCTAGCCGGTACCACCTCTCAACACCTTTTGGACACCTGAGCAAAAATAACAATAATAATGAGGAAACTTACCCATAC